TGGTGTGCCTGCCGTGTGACGCAGCCTTCCATCCGGATCAGATTCGTGCGGCCTTTGTCAGATGCTTTGCCAGCTTGTTCTACACGTACAAGAAGTTCCTTGTACCGGCCAGCAGCGATAAGAAGAAGTCCGGCATGTATTACAATTTCAACATAGAGGCTTTCATGAAGAGCCTTCCAAGTGAGCACGCCGAGTATATCACAGTTCTGCAACAGACACAAGGTAAGTTGCCGAGTTCTCATATCGCACCGTGGAGGAAATACTGACCCAACAATAGGCTTCAACGAGTTCATCAGTGATCGCGAGCGAACAAATCCGAAGTCCAAGGACCCGCGTATGACCCTGTTCGACGAGATTGTCCTTTCAAAGCGCAACCGCGGCCGCACCTCCATTTTCTCTGGCCGGTCGACAACAGACTTCCTCTCGGATACCTCGAACCATCTGTGGCGTACAGCCAACGCTACCTCCTTCACCCCAAACAGCCGCAGCCAGCAGAATCTGTCAGGCGACTACGGCAGAGTTCCAACAAGAGGTACGCTCGAAGGCTCCAACCCCCCAACCAATCCGCTCACTGACAACCTCCCTGTAGCACCGGCAAACCTAGATACGAGCCTGATGACAGAACCCCGCATGATCCATGGCGCACCGCGGGTTTCGAAGACGGCAAATACTGCCCGTAGAAAGCCGCTGCCCAAAATGATGAACGGGCTCGCCATCTCTCCGCCGAGTTAATTGGTGCGATTCCACACGCGAGTGGCCCGTCTATCATTTCATCGTTATCTGCCCTGCTCTCGTGCGGGTGGGTCCTGTGTGGGCGGACCATGTGCCATGTCCACCTTCTCGAAACACTTCCTTATGTTTCCTTGCGCGAGTCTGAAACCTGAAACCCCTTCTGACCCCGGCTGAGGTCTTGATTTCCCCGATTGATGGCGTTGCCCTTTCCATGTTTCATCCGACGATGAGCAAATACGGAATGCATATTGCCTCCTGCGTATCTTCGTTAGGGCATGTGTGTCGATGCAAGCTGATAATGACCGGCCGCTGGCTCGGCCGAACTTCTCGCCTCCCGCAAATGGAACGCTGCATGTGGTTGCACACCGTTGGCCTCTCTCGCAATTGAACTTATTTCCCTTACTTGACCTACCATGCTCTGTCTTGGTAGACACCCGACGTCCCGAAAGATGTCAAACAGCCCACGTGCCGATCTTCGGTTGCGTTGCTGTCCTAGTACATAGTGTTGATTCCGGCTTGATGCACGGAACCGTGAACAACCCCCTAAAAGCGCCATCTTGGTTTGCAAAGCGACGTGGTGGTTATTTGTGTGCCTGATCTTGATACATACATCCATGTTTATTCTCTGGGCCAATACCTCTTTGCCTTTGCTGCCCTTTCCCCTCCCCCTCCTATCTCTCGGCTTGCGTTTTCCCCTTGTCCTTCCTCACTGCCTGTTACTACCCAATACCCCCTCTTGATTTGGCTGGTATTTTCTCTCTTTGTGTCTTAATTGGTTGTTTGAAATACAATGTCGGGCGGATTTAGTCTCGATTCTATCTTTGTTTTTGTTTTTGTTTTTTTTTTTTCATTCTCTCTTGCCTTCTTCGCCCCTTGTATGAGTATCGATGTACTCTTCCACCAATCCTAGTGTCTGATTCGTTGCTTTACCAACAGGTTAGGTAATATCTGTTCAAAAGCCGATCATTAGCCATCGCCGAGGCTGAGACTTTGGCTTAGAATGCTGATTTTCCCTCGTATCGGATCATAGCGCTGTAGTGCAGAGCCCCTGTCAGGTTATCACGAAACTACGCTGGTGCCACGAGCTGGCTCGATGATGTTACATAGGCTGATATGAACATGTAGCTGATTATAAATGTGCGAATTGGCAAGATTTATAAGCATATTAACCCTACACACACTCCTTATTCCAGTGAGTAGATGGCGTATAGTTGTATTTCACGCCCGCTGATTGGTGGAGAAACCCAACACCGCTCCCACTTTTCCCCGCGTCCACCGTCTGCGTGGGATTCCATTGTCGCGAATTGAGTGGAGCCTACGCAACAAGTTCTTCCATCGATCCATGTCGCCTCAAATGGATTTCCATTATGATCATCGCGGCTGGGTTTAATACACTCTTACCCTAAGATTGACTTAGCGTCGCTTTATCCAACTTGCCCCCAATTACCCCATACCTTGGAGCTAGCCTTGTTCGGCCCGCTCCCTTTTTCATAATTGTTTTGTAAAATATAAGCTCTGATACTACCTACCTCTTACGATATACCCGGGGTCCTAACCGTTGAGAAGCGAATTGCACAAAGTCTATACTGGGTCCTTGCGCTCCTTTCCCCCCCTCTCCCCGATTCCCTCCCATTTCCGCCCGTCGTTTTGATACATACTTTGACCTGCATATACATCCTCGCCAGCACGAAGTATGAAAACACATGGGACTGCTATGCCATGATTCCGACAGCCTTTCCGCAGCGCATGCCCACGCCGCTGCTCGATGATCCCCCTGTCTCCACCGCCCTCAAGGCTCAGGATCCTCCCAGCGCAAACACCAATATCCCCGTTCCTTCCAATGCTACAACAATACTCTCTCGCGATCCTCCAGCTACCGGGACCGAAGACCAGATAGCCGCGCGCATCGCCGTGTCGGCCGCTGACGCTGTCGCGAGGACTGTCGTGATCATCTATGGGCAGAACCAAGACCATATCGTACAACTGGTATCGGAGGTTTTGGGCAAGCCATGGACAACGGACACATCGCTCGGGACGCTTGCGCGAGCCAGCGATGCAGTGGTTGTGGGGATCCTAGCACGCGATCTGACGCGGAGCTTGCAAGAATGTAAGCGATCATCGCTGGTTTTGGTAAACACGTACTGTGTGGAAAACGGGTCTGCGCCAGAGGACTCGCTCACCGAGAATTGTGATTATGAGTTTTTATATTCGCGGAGTCCGTTCCTGCGTCGGGATCTGTCGCGGTTTTTGTCGTTGATTTTTGGTCAGACGAGGCCGCATGATGATTTGCGCACGAAGACCAGGACTAATTTTATCTCGACTACTTTTCCTGACGTGCATGCTGCTTTGCCTAATTTGGATATTTTGTCTGTTGGGTCTGATGCTGTTGAAATTCGTGTGGATTTACTAGTTGAGCCTGTGCCGGATGGTTGGGCCACTCCGCCTGTTCCGAGTTTGAAGTATGTCGGTCAGCAGTTGATGTTGTTGCGGCAGCATACTGAGTTGCCGATTATCTTTACTGTTCGTTGTACAAGAGAGAACGGGAAGTTTCCGGTAGACGACCCTGCCCTCTTTTACAAGTATCTGCGGCGAGCGATACGGTGGGGAGTCGAGTATATCGATGTGGAACTGTGGCTACCAGAGGAGATCCGGCGCCAGCTATTTGAGAAAAAGGGCCATAGTATGATTTTATCCGCGTTCCATGACTTTTCCGGGACCTGGAAGTGGACATCCGAAGAGGCGCAGCGCATATTTACGGAAAGCGCCAAATATGCCGATATTGTGAAGATGATTGCCATGGTCCACACAATTGAGGAGAACTACGAACTAGAATACTTCCGTTCTACCATCAAAAGCCGCGGCTCAGGCCCACCCCTGTCAGCAGTCAACATGGGCCAAATGGGCCAGCTATCTCGAGCCCTCAACACCGTCTTCTCTCCAATCACCCACCCCCTCCTCCCAATGATCGCCGCCCCAGGCCAGCTAACGGCGGCGGAGATTAACGAAGCCCTTCACATAATGGGCCAACTTCCCAAACGCGACCTCTACGCTATCGGCTCATTCCGCTCCACCCCACACTCAATGTTCATGGAGAAATGTCTAAACGAGCTCGGTCTTCCACACAACTTCACCTCAGTCGACCGCGGACCAAAAGGCTCCATAGAACCCGTCCTCCTACAACCGCACTTTGGCGGCGCCTACCTCAACCCCCCAGCCCCAGCGACAACTGGTTTCATGCCCGCAGTCAGTGACGCAGCCCGCGCAATTGGGTTAGTCGACACAATCGCCATGACACCGGGCGACACCGCCCCAGGACCCTCCCGATTCATCGGCGAAAATGCCGCCTGGAAGGGCATCCGCGCGACCCTGACGCGCGAATACGTGCCATCGGCGTATAACAGCCGCGCAGCGATCATCCTCGCTGGCTCGCAAGCAGACGCTTCAGCAGCAATCTTCGCACTACGCAGTCTGGCCGTCGGCACAATCTACACGGTCGGGTTTAAAGCGAGCGGCCCGCTAGCTGTGGGTCTTGAGCCCTTCACATCCATCCAATCCGTCAAACGGGTTGAGCAGCCATTTGTTATTGTCTCTGCGCTGCCGCCGGAGAAATCGCTGCTCGTCCAGCCTCTGCTACGACATTATGGTGTTAATGGTCGTTCGTCGCCGCCCTCGACTCGTGGGAAGGTTTATCTTGATCTCACCACTGGGCCGCGGAAGGGGGATCCTTTGGCTGTTGCGACTAGTGCTGGGTGGACCGCGTATGGGGTTGAGGATGTTTGTGCTTGGACTACGGTTGAGACGCTCAGGTTGCTTGTTGGGCAGAATGTGCCGTTTGACTTTGTGCGCATGGCGTCTGGGAGGCCTTTGTTCTAGTTATATAGTATAGTATACTACATACCTACGTAGGTTATTTGTGGTTCAGCTTTTTGTCTGTTGTTTGATACAATAGACATTGATTTTCGTATTGGGTTGGAATTTCTTTTAGGGGTTTGGGGTAGGGATTATGTGTTCTGTTTTTGTAGGGCTATCTGTATCATGTGAGATCCGTGGATGTTGATATATGTAGTGTCTTTATTTGCTTTCCGTATGGATTTTCGTAGGACAAACTAGCTGTGCAGTGCTAATAAGCGAGCAATATATAAATTCTGCAAGATAAGAGTTTATCTGAAAATCCGGGGTCAACCCCTCATTTCATGCTGACCCTAGGCCTCGTTCCACTTGAGCTCTTGATAACTATATATTGCTTTCCCAATTCACACAAAATAAATATGCATCTACGTCCCGATCATGCAGTCCGAGACCTCCCAACCCTCCACGCCTTCATCAAACAACACCCACTAGGCGTGCTCACCACTTCCCTCCCCTCGGAGAATCATCCGACCCTCCAATGCAGCCACATCCCCTGGGTGTTGGACAGTGAAACAACACTGGAAGACGAGCTAGCAACGAAAGCAAAACTAGCCGACGACAACACCCCGGCAGCGCCACGTGCCCCCCTGGGGGTCCTCCGCGGCCACATTGCGCGCCAAAACCCGCAAAGCAAAGCAATTGTAGAATCTGCCTCGGAATACAGCACCAAAACAATCAGTCTCCCGGGCGCGTTTCCTATAACAAGTTCTGAAGAAGAACCAGCCACATCTACAGGCCATACACTCCCCGGTGAAGTCCTGATCGTTTTCACTAGCCCAGTAGACCACTATATCACGCCGAACTTCTATACAGAGTCTAAACCCGCTACGGGAAGGGTTGCTCCGACGTGGAATTACGCCGCGGTGCAGGTTTACGGTCGGGCGACTATCTACCATGACTCGAAGGACGGGCAAACAGAGCTGTTTTTACGACAACAGCTGGGTGATCTAGCTCGGTTGGGAGAGGAAGGAGTAATGGGCTTTCCAGATGAATCTGCGTTGGGTTCGGGGTCTGATGACAAACATGGGGATGGGGATGGAAAGCCACACCAAAACAAAGACCAGAACCATAGCCTAGATCGGGAGTTGGAGCTGAATCAGGGGGTGAAGACGGCGAGAACCGGGGCTAGCGGGGATGGCAACGGCACGGCATTGCCGAAATTGACGCCGGCACCTTGGAAAATGGCAGATGCGCCATTAGAGTACATTGTGGCGCTTTTGAAGAATATTGTCGGGATGAGGATTGAAATTACGCGGATTGAGGGCCGTTTTAAGGTTAGTCAGGAACGGCCGGTTAATGATCGTGGTGGTGTTGTTCAGGGGTTGGAGAGGATGGGTGGGAGGGCGAGGGATATGGCGGAGTTTGTGAGGAGGGGAAAGGTTTTGCCATAAGGAGGTTTATATTTACTTTTTTTTGCTTATTTGCTTATATTGTAACTATGTATCGAGATTCTAGGGGTAGTTAGTTAGACGGAGTAGATACTGAATAGAGTAATAGTGTTAAGCCATCTTGGAACACACAACATACCTAGGTATGTTGTACAGTAGTGTTGCTTGGTATTATAGAATAGAGGAGAGCATACTCCGTATGGTCTGGATGTATAAGCACTACCAAGTGTTTAAAAAGTTAAAAATAAGACTAGGATGGAGGTCCCGTATCAAATATAGTATCCTCAGGGGATGATCAAGTCTGGGAACGGGGGTTTCCAAGTTTAGGGAGAACCTTGCAAGGCGTAATAAGCGGGGACCAATAGTATAGTAGTAATAGGCACCTTGATACTCCATAACTCCATACGTTAAATACCTGGAAGGGGGTTTCTTCTGCAGGGGACACTTCGGGAAATGGAGGGGACTTTATTAAATAGAGGTCCAAGCGATAATAGAGAACCCCATGATGGGTGGGGTGTGATGGACAGAATATGGTTATTTACTGGTTGAATAAATCAAGCTACTGCAACGTGAAATTATCTGCAATTCTGCTGCAATTCTGGGACTTCTGGACCATCCGGATGTTGGCGTCGGAGCCCTAAGGTGGGTGTATTTCCGGAAAAGGAAATCATCCCCCGCCATTTAACAGATTAAAGGATTAAAGGGGAATGGACTGATTTATAAGTTGAATATTGATGTTCGAAGTAAATTAAACTCAAAAGAATAAGAATACAGAAGAAATATACATATTTAATATTTAGTTAATTAATAGTCAGGAGTATACAGAGAACAAAGGTATCCATGTACAATAATATCACCCTTGTCAGCTTAAACTGGGGTTGGGAATTCCGGCGGCACATCTTCTCCGCATTTCTTTCCTCCGCAACCTGGTTGTGGTATAGGCTCTTTTCTTTTTCTCAAGCCACAGCCATGCGCTTGACTTCTTGTCCATCTTGGCCAGGGCCGTTTTCTTTCTTCTTCTCATCTTTCTCTTCCATGTAGATGTGCCATGTCTCGTCCTCAGGTTAGCATCGACCGTCTCACGCCCCGCCGTGCGACGGTCGAGCCGCGCGAAACTATGAACTGCAAATCATGTCGCAAGCGCAAGGTCTGTCGAGTCAGTCTGAGTGCAATTGCTTGGTCTCTAAATCGTCATAGATCAAATGTAATCGCATGCGACCGAGCTGCGAGGCATGTAAGGTCTTCCAGTGCCCATGTCTTTATGGTAAGTCAATCATGTCCCCTCCACATCACATGATTCCCTGTTGATCTTGTTATGTTCAAAGATGCCGTCCCAAAAAAACGGGGCCCCAAGACAGATGTGTTAGAAGCTCTTCTCAAGCGGGTTGATGGGTTGGAGAAACGACTCCATGATGAAAAGAACCCTATTTCGCCCACTTCACCCGATACACCGGACGATCCGCCGAGCTTTCCCACCCGTCGGAACACCATCGACACTTCCTTTAGTATTTACTCTTCAAGCGATCGATCGGCTCTGTCAACTTCGTTCTCGCAGAATGTGGATCCCTTCTCTAGGCCGACCGGCCACCCAGCAAGTCTTCTCCAGCAGCCCTCTCCGACAACCAACGGACCCCTATCGGATGCGATCCTCGATATTTACTTTGAGCGATTGCACGGTAAGCCATTTTATATATTAGACAAGGCGACAACGCAACATAGCCATCAACTGAACCAATTGCCTCCATCCTTGGCCATGGCTATCTCAGCATTGACAGTAAGGTAAAACAGCCAAGGTTCCAAGCCTGTCGTATGCTCTTTACATGTTTGACTGACGACTCTCAGATACACAACCTTGCCTGGTCAAGTGGAGCAGTCACTTCGTACCGGAATGGATGCGGCGCTACAGGCAAGACGCATGATTGACGTCGACAATCCCACAGTAGAAGGACTACAAACTCTATTGTTACTTTCGCAAGCCTTCTATGCTTATGGTTTGGGGAAGAAAGCTTATATGACATTCTGTATGCTTGCCCTCGATCCTACATGGTTGAATGAACTTTACTAATGAGGATTAGCAAATTGCGTGGCCATGATCGTCGCTCTGGATTTGTACCGCGAGGCTTCCTCTAAGTCCAATATCACGATTGCTGAGCGAGAAATGAGACGTCGGCTATTCTGGTCTGTTTACTTGATGGACAGATTTATTAACTGTGGATCCCGACGTCCATGCCTAATTGCCGATCATTCGGTTGTTCTGCGCCTACCGTCTTGGTCACCACATGCAGCCGGTCTGAACATGGAGGGGGAGCTCTTCCATGTCGGCCCGAACATTCAATATTCCGCTGATTCCCGGCGCAAATCACCAAGTGCTGCATCTTTGCTAATTGACATCACGCGTATTCTTGGTGTCACCAATAAGTACCTGGCAGCCGGCGGAGTGAAAGGCGACTCCCACTTTCCATGGCATGCGCTCTCTAATTTATCTAAGATCCGACAAGAATTAGATATCTGGGCGGCCGGTACGCAGGACGTCTTTGCGTCGATCGATGCATTGTTCGGCCACCCCGAGAGTACAACACTTTTGCTGAGCAAGTTGATATACCATTTGGTGCACTGTTTGATCTACCGCCCGTTCCTACCCATTGACCTGGTAGAGCTCCGAGGTACGGGGCAACATCAGTCCTGGCAAATCGAGGCGACAAACCTATGTTTTTCGCACTCCAATGCCATCGCAGAGCTCGTTGAACTGGGCCGTAATTCTCCACTGATTGAGTGGCCTGCTTTTGTCGGCTATTGTGTGTGCACAGCGGGGACTGTGCATGTTCACGGTGTGCACTACAAGGGCCGTGAAGGAGAGGTTTTCTCTTCCAGTGCCGAATTCCTGACTCGGGAGATGCACCAGCTCGTTTGGTTGCGCAATATTTGGACTGGCGCACAGCATCAGCGTGAGCTGCTCCAGACCATATATACGTGTCACTCCGAACTGGTGCGCAATCTTGCTAGTAGCCCAATGCGCTTCTCGCCAGTCTTCCATCTTGAGGACTTTCTCGACCGATATCCCGGTCTGATGTTAGATGGATCACACGTTCGGCTTATGGATGCGGGGGATGAACTGGCTCCAAGGTAGGTCGATTGCTGATTCCATCCTTTTGGATGCATATTATAAGGCGTCTAACTCCAGAAACAGTACTTCAAACTTCATCGATCGTCAAGATCACTACTACCAACGACCAATCGCCGCACCCTCGTATCAGAATGCTTCATCCTACTTCTCAAATACGCGGCCTGGACCCTCCAGTCCACTACCATCCACCCAGAACTTAGATATCGACCGTCGCCACCCCCATTCCCATTCTCTGTCCCAGAAACCCTCTCACCCGGCTTCCCTCTCGCCAACCCTACAATTCCAAGCGATCTCAAATAATCACCACCAACAATCACCATCCTTGCCCTCCATATTCTCCCTCCCAACCGGAACAGATCTATCTGGCGCCGGCACAGCAGAAACCTCTCACCTCTCCATCCCAGGCTTCTCCCCCTCGGCCTTTGGCATCTCACCGCCAGCCTTTCTCACCGATTCCGCCATGAACAACATAGCACCAACACCGCCCCCAAATCCCCAATATGCAACCTTCCCCTTTGACACCGCGAACACAAACCTAAACGGAATGGCACAGTCGGGCCCCACCGCACTGACGCCAGGTGCCCAGTCCCAAACTAGTGCCACCCACACCACAACTGGCAGCGAGGGCGCATCTGAAAAAGATCCCTTCCTGAGCTTGCTGGAACAGCTCGCTGAAAATGAGAACTCGCAGGGCGGGCCTAGTGAGCTCGAGTTCTTTTTGACGGGTACCGGTGCTGTCGAAAGTGATACGGAGATCCCTCTTGAGAAAGCTGGTGCCTCGTAGGTGGAAAATTGGGGTTGGGGATTATGATTCCCCCGTATATATTCTCGTTCTGTATATATCTCTCGCTGTATAGCTTGTTCTTTTTCTAGGCTGTGCCCGAATTATATAATACCCATTGTGCTTATGATCTACCTACCCTACTATGTGAGATTTCGTAATCCGGAAATCCGTGTTGTCCATCAGAAATTACAGTAAAGTGGCAGAATGTTGTTCATCATGGGCGTCGAACCAACAGCAAGCCCCCAGAGTGCTCGTACAATCGTCCCTAGTCCGCCTCCCCTAGCAAATCAAGCTACGATCTCGGGCTCTCCACGTCCTATCAGCGTGCAGGAAAACAGTGACTCGTCGAAGTACATCAAGCAAAAAAACCTAGGAGATGATAATCTCAAATATTTAGAGAAAATGTTTGTTCGTCTTTTGGGTGACGAACTTGGCCGCCAACTCTGAATAGACGCCTCGTGTTGAGAACAGTGCAAGAAATACACGGTGATTGCTACTCCAACTCAGCACATCCCAGGGAACAGAGGCACGGGACTCATCTCACCAGTGAAGATGTCGGCATGGCCGAGACAGTCTGCCCAATGCCATTTACTTCACAGGTGACACAGTCTATGTTGAGGAGCTCAAGGATATTGGAAGCCGATACCACATCAAGGCGGCTGTGATGAATCGGGACAATGCTCATGCACTAGTGCTCCTCCAATCCAAATCACTGTGGGCGGCTAGTCTGCAGATAGACTGTTTCGTGAAATCAAATCTGATATTTTGGTCCCAATGCATTACGAATCTCACTTCGTTCAGTTTGGAGCTGAGTAGCGTCAGGTTTTCATGGATGAAGCAACTAGTGAAAAACGTTTGTTGGCCCAACGGAGGGAGAAGGGTTCGATTCTGACATACTTATTTAACCGAGAATGATATAGTAGTCTTGGGCTCAAATTGAGCTTTCGCCGAGTACCAGGCGCGGCGCCGACAGTAAGCCTCTTTGGACTAATTTGGCGACGACTCCCTTAATAAAGTCTATGCTATTGTCATTGCAACCTCGGTGTCTCTCAAACCACGCATATGCGATCTGCGCGGGAAACAATGCCAAGGCTGGCCCGAAGAGCTTCATCTCATTTTGAAACAAGTAACTCATACTTGAACAAATCAAAAAGGCCAGACGGTCCCCTTCAGCTCGAATGCTAATCGGATTCATTTCCTCTGACAAACCCTCAAGTATTCCGGTACAATTCGGCAGTCTCGACAGAATTTTGTCAATTTCCAATAAACATATGACTCGGACGGACCAGCAATGAGTCATCCCATTTGCGATCGGGATGTTAGGGAACCATATAGGCGTGGGGGATGCCTGTGGAATATTGATAGAAGTGGGTTGAAGGTCAGATAACGAAGTGACTGAAGGAATAATGTTGAGACCTAAGGCGTTCTCCCAAGCGCAAAGTCGTTTTGAAGCCTCAAAAAGGGATCCGATCAATACTCGCGAAGCAGGTACATTTTCAGTCGAGGATACACAGCCGAGCATATCAATCTCCTGCAGGATTGACGGTATAGCTGCAATTTCGCTGTAAAGTTCTTGGGTTGGAGTTACCGCATTGATCGAAAAAGGGATGTTGATCCAGATGCTAGTAGCCAGAAACGTAGGTTGCCGATCACGCAATGCTTCTGCAATCTGAGAAGCCCGAAAATATCAGTATTTATATCATACAATTTGCTTAGCTGAAACCTACAATGACCGGCCGAAAGCCCAAGAAGAGTTGATGGAGTAATCCTGAACTAAAAGTTCCTGGACCGTAATTTTGGAACAATATCCTAATGGCGTGGATATGCATATTGAGAGCAGACGCGGAATCCGGCAGCATGAGCTAAGAGAGATCAATGGGTGACCTTCTGAATTAGTTAGGGACCACTTACTTCCACCAAAGTAAGACACATAATAGCAGGTAACAATTCCAAGGAGAGACCATTCGTAGCGATATGTCCGCGCATCTTATGGATAGCATCATAGTAGCTCTGCGGGGATTCGACATCACATGTACGTGATAAACTTCTTCTTTGTGAATTTATTAAGGTCGCTAGTGCCAGTGTAGCTTTCGATAGTACCGAAGCATCGGAGGCCAGACATGGAAGCTGAGGAAGCACGTCAACCCAGGCGCCACATATTCGAGATTCTTTGTGGGCGGAGTCGCTCAAGGTATTGAGGATTTCGGGAAGATAGCCGTTTCTGACAAATTCTGCGACATCGGTCATACACGGGCGTCCATGAGGCCGGATGAGCGACAGCGACTCTTCGCGGATGAGTAGTTCGGGCTCCACTTGTTGGCGGTTTTGGGGCCGACGTCCGGTAGAGGAGCGGGAGTTCGCATCAACCGTCCGTTTAATGTTCGCCACCTTCTGCTGACATGGTCTGACAGTCGACTGTTTACCGGAGGTTCCCTGTGAAACAAATGTCCAGTCGCTTTGGTACCCGTCGCAGGTCCTTCCGGTAAGCACGCATTGGCTACAGGCCGGCCGTTTTCCATCGCACTGATGTATTCATTAGTTGAGGATTTCCTAACGGAAGTTGACACGAAGTAAATCACTCGAAAAGGAAGGGTCATACGCCTAATTTCCGATTGCGACAGGTCTGACAAACCGATCTTTGTTTGACTTTCATGGTATCGTAGAGATCAACACTCAACCGGAGAGACGTTGCCACAGGTGCCTAGGTAACTGGTCAGTTTTACGTCATGTAAGCATTTCTGGGGACATAATGGGGTATTGACCACATGATTTTACATTACGCGTAGAAGCATTTAAGGAATGGAGATGGAGCTAGAGTGACTGGTCGTTGGATGAGGATTATTAACCTCATCAAGAAGTCCTCGGCGGTTATGAATCAGCAGCTTAAGCTCCCGAGGTCTTGGCGGATTTTGATTCCTAATACGGTTAGTCGTCCAGCCCCACATTCGAGTTGGACGAATGAAGTTCAATCCCGCGCTTATCGGTATCTGTGGAATTCTTTATGCACCAAAGTTAATTTAGTGTCACGGCTCGTACGGTATGGGAGTTACGTGTAGGTATGGACTGGAAATCTTGACTGACCTTGGGTAAATTCTGGAAAGAGACACCGCTTCCAAATAAGTCAAAGAGTGCAGGGGGTTTTTTTTCCCCATAAAATATGCTCCAGCTCCTAGACCTTCTTTCCTCCCAAGCTTCAATACTCCCGTCCGTGGGTAGCATAACTGATCTTGCTCTGCTCGATTGACCCGTAAAAATTACTAGGGGCTTAAGGGGGCGAGTGATACCCGTAGTCAAAGCTGCTACGACGGTCTGCAAGGCTTGAATTAGTGAGCTAAGCTTAAGTATGAAAGCAAAATGGACTAGATTGGCCGGTTTGACTGACCAACCACTATAAGCTAAAGAATTCACCAAAGGAAGAGACCATGTTTCAAGTAGACCAATTAACTTGAATCATTGAAAGAACGTACGAAGTATTCTTTGCTATATACCACCTTAAGTGGACGCCAAGCCCGCAACGTTTCCCTGACACCCATCTTCCTTACATATCTGGAACAACACCCTTCATTGGAGGCCCTGTCTCGATCTCATCATAACTGTCAAGCTCAAGGAGAGCCTCGTGCACGATCCTGATACCTCGAAGCAGATCCGCCTCTGGAATGTTCAGGGCCGCACCCATTCGTACGCGGTCTCCATCTGGGTACGTGAGGATGCCCTTGTGGAGGCACAGCATGCTAAGTCGTCGGGTGGTGTGTCGCGGGTCACCAATACGTTTCAGGTAGAGGCCCAAATCAGCACCGCGGTTTGTGGTATAGTCAAGCCATGGCATGTTCCAGTCGGCTGTTTCCTTCTTCCAGACCTGCCCGATCCAGGTAGCGCGGTCGACGAGTTTCTCCTCGTCCATGATATTCAGTGTCGCACGAGTGGCAGCAATTGCCGCTGGTGCCATGCCAAAGGTTGCTACAGATTCATAGCCCCCGACCAGATTCATCACCTCGTCGTGACCGAAGATGTATGAGGCAGGATAAGCCCCGCCGGTAATGGACTTCCCCATAACAACCATGTCGGGCTTGTTCTCCGGGCCCATCCAGTCAGAACAAAGGAACTTTCCAGTTTTGCCTGAGCCCATTCGCACTTCGTCGGCAATGAAGAGTATATTGTATTTCTTGCAGAGCTGGCGCACGCCAATCGCAAAGTTGAGATCTTCCTCAAAGGAGCTGTGCCGATGTCAGTTTGTTGAGACGAAGCATGATAGCCTGCATTGGCTACGGCTGTGGGATTTGCTAGACACAGACTTACGGGCTCTTTCCATGGATGCACTCCATGATTATTGCGGCCACACCTCCGTGAAGATCAGCAAGGGCTTGCTCAAAGTCTTCCAGGCATCCGTACTTCAGGAGCTCCCCAGTTTTTGGGTTGGTATTCCGAAGGTTCTCGTTGGAGATACCGTAGTCTGACATACTTGTTAGTTTTGCACATGATTCGGAATTACTTTCGACATTAAAAGAACAAAAGCAAGAGAACAAGTGAAAGCAGTTCACGCAATACTTACCCGATGACTGGCCCATGTCATTCATGATGGGCCAGATTCCGGAGCCAACGCCATGGTAGTTGTCCGAAACACCAAGGACGAGGACGTCTCGAGGGGGAATGCCCTTCATTTTAATGCCCCATTTCCGGGAAAACTTGACGGCTGCATCGGCACCTTCCGTGCCAGAAACCATACCTACCATTTTGTCGTAGCCGAACCGTGTGCACATGTCCCGCGTGAATTCGGCCCATTCGCCCACTTTTGTTGCGATATTGGTGAGAGTGACTTAATGTTGATGTGGTTAGCTTCAAAGCCAATGCAGTCCAATTGCGGGACATTCACAGCGGAGCGTATAGACCAGGAAGCTGGTACTTACTGGTCTGCATAGAGGTGGTCACCGCTTCGAGCAATTTAGGGTGACATTGGCCCAGGTTGGTGGCGCTCAACATGCAGATGAAGTCGATGATTTCCCTGCCATCGGCATCCTAGTAGTTCCCAGTTATCTTACAAATAACACCATAAAAAAGAAGGTAGCAGGAGGATGAAGGACATACCTTCAATATAGAACCCTTGCCGCTCTTGATGAAGACAGGAAGTGGAAAAATCCCCCCGCGGAGTGCTTGCTATCAATTTCGAGGAGCTCCTTTGTCTTCGAGGACAGTCGCACGACCTTGCCCTCTCTCGGAATTTCTCGAGCCATGATTTTCACAGTACTCTGATAACTGATAGAAAGATTCCACGGGAATTGGAGCTGATTGGACTTGGTGGATGGAAAAGTGAAAGAAGAAGGGGCTTTCAGCGGGCAATCCGAGTCAATTTATATAGCCAACCTCGGAACTCGTCACCATGTATGTGTTGCCGGTAACCAACGGCGGCCACCTAATCCACGCGCCTCCTAGTGGTATGTCATTTTATCCGAGTGCCGGAATACTGGTAGAAACAACCTTGGTAGGGGATTCAGGTATACCTAGTTAGGTACGGCGGGGCAAAGTCTGATAAGCGCGGGCAACCCGCAGATGTTGTTTTTACCCCACAGTGCTAGCGGGTTCAAAGCTGCGGTTGGTCGCGTTAGGTAACTTTCCGACCTAATCTCCTTGTACTACCTACCACATAGTTAGGTACGGACTCCATGCGGAACAAACGGGGTAGCCCCGACTATCCTACCTGTCCGTAGATTCCACGCTCGTCCAGCTGCCTCAAAGCAACTGTATCGGCCATGACGCTTAGCTGGCCCTCTCCCCGCTCTTCCCCGCGCTTTCCCGTGATAACCATGGATTTCGATTTAGAGGAGCCCGGCTGATATATCAACATTCACAGCTGGGGATATAACTCGGCAATGGGCAAGGTAGATGAAGTTTGCGAGCGAGTGCCGTCGGCAAATTCGAGTGCCGAATCAACATGGCGCACTACAGTTGACCCAAAAGTGGAATTGAAGCGATACATGCTCAGCCAATTGGCATTGTCCATGATACTGGGAAGATAAGCCCACGGGAACCTCATCTCTGGCCGTTTCAGGAAGTCTGTCTTGTTAATAATGAGGCATATATCCCTATATGTTAGAAGGTATCCATTTTCCTCCCGCAGTCACTGTCTTTCACAGCCGGAATTCGACACCTGCTGTTACAAGGAAATATCATTCTCCATGGATCTTACTTCCTTCGCCTCTTAGCTTTTCAAATTCCCTCTTAACTTATCCTCAAGTCTCTTCGCGGTCGACGCGGTGTTTTTATACGATGATGGGTACTTCCGTGGCTAGTTTGAATTTCAATGTACGCCTACAATTCCCACGCCGTCTACAGGTCTTGCCCTTTCGTGCGGTAATCCTCTACCCTTGTGATCATCGAAATGCATATTTAACAAACACCAGGCTAATGTTTTCCCGTAGAAATTCTACAATATCATCAATGGAGAAATGATATCGATCTTGACAATGCTGTCATTGCTGCTCAAGTTGCCTTTAAACAATATTATTAACTCCGTCATGACTATGGTGAGAAGCGGCGTTGAATAGTTATAACCTTTAAGCCGAATCTGAAGACTTATCGAGTGTTCTCCGTACATATGTATATGTAGTTATGCAGTAGTCCGTAGTCCGTAGTCCAATACCGGAGTACGGGTACGGTACGATGGTACTGTACATGAACTGTATTGAAACATTGGCCACCCGCCCCTTCAATGTTTTCTCCGCTCTTGCCCATGCCCATGCCTACCATGCCTATCATACGTACAACTGCACTTCATTAATTTGCTTTATTTAATTTCGTGTCAAACCTATCTCAACGCTCAGACGATCGTGAACTCTGACAAAATCTAATCTAATCTGCAAGACAAACCCCTCCATGCCTCGTCAACAGTGCAAGGGCTGCATCCCTTGCAAGATGCGCCGAAAGAAATGCGATGAGAGAAAGCCAACCTGCGTCGCTTGTGCGCGTAATGTCCTTATCTGTGCCTGGGGGTCCGAGTCGCCCACAAGCAAACCTTACAACTCGGGTCGCAAAGGGTTGACGACTAAGAGCCAGCGGCTGGTACTCCATCAATCAGCTCCAAAGGGCATGGTTCCAGACATGGCGTTGTTTGCGGCGCCAAATGCTATAAACCCACAACTCTCCCACCCGAAGACAAATTTTCTCTACTCATTTTTCTACGCTCGAGCAGCACAAACACTGTCAATAAAAGACGGGAAAGGAAACCCCTTCGTGCATATCCTGATGCCAATGGCCGCTACTAGTGACATCGTCTTTCAAGCCATGCTTGCCTTTAGCGGAGTGATCTATGAACAGCAGCATTCCGATGCCTTAGCCACCACCACATGGGAGCATTACGCGCAGGCGATTCGCAGCTTGAAGCACAAGCTCACGCTCTATGTTGATGACCAAGTTAACCGGGGGACTGAATTGGTCGCGACGGTGCTTCTACTGCTGTCCTTAGAGGTAAGCAGGATGCGCCATTTTGGAATTCGTTGGTCAAGCTACTCACCAGTGTTTCCTGGTCTCTCATCCCTCTAGGTCAGTAACGCAGACTCCGATGGCAATGCTTTCCGTCATCTTAGGGCATGTCGAGAATTAGTGTCAGGAACTTTGGCCCACTGCCAAAATCCTCAATTGCTAGGCTTCCTAGCAGAGTTTTACCTTTACACTCTGTCGCTGCTCCCCACTAGCTTGGTTGAGCATTCAGATCCGATTGAAGAGGATATCGACTTCGCATTTCAAATCTTACTGGACAACAGCGTCCCTGCAACCGGCGTCTTATGTGGATGTGCCCCGGAGATGTTTCGTACTATATCGAAAGCAACGGTGGTGTCACGTCGTTTGTATGACGAGTTCACTGATGAAGCTGGCCCCTCAGTTGAATGTCTTCAGGAACGTCTCGGTCTTTACGACTACGTCCAGTCTTGGATGCCAGAACGTGCCGACGAGGAAAATGCGATGATAGCGCGCGTTTATCAAACAGCTCTCTTGGTCCTCCTTTTGCAGGCGGACCCAGAAACGTCTGACAATACGATGATGAATGAACTCTTGACAAATCTCATTAGTCTCCTTAGGATGATTCCGGTCGAGTCCAACACAACCACAGTGCTAGCTTGGCCACTGGCGACCGTGGCACCGTGTGTTAAGTCTAGCACGGACCAGGCGTTTTTCCTACAGTACTTACGTGCTGTTGTTCAAAAATACCGATTTGGCAATCATCGGCAGACCGAGCAACTTCTTCAGCTGATTTGGTCGCGCCGAGATTTACAGGAACGTGGTCCATATTGCATACCTCGCGCGATGGAGGCACAGGGCTGTCGATTCTTACTCTGTTAATCATGAGTCAACATGTAATGTGAACTCAATAGTTATGTTATGTGAGCTCAACATGTAGTATGCCCCCTTTTCGGCTATTCTTTTCTTAGGAAGGACAAGGGGGATAACACACGGACGTTCATCTTTTATTCCTAACTATTGCTCGAGGCTACACCATGATTCTGTGGCCATAGGCTAGGTTATGACAATATTTATACACTTTAACGAGAGGCCACTAGACACTAGTGAGGTTGCGTTCTAGTAGCATAGGCTAGGTATTCAGAATAAACGCTAACCTACTGTGACTGATACTATTTAACTAGTCACCACTCTACGTGACGGGGCACCTGGAGTGTTGCTCCCCATATTCCCCAGGATTTAATTTGCGGGGAAAGACTATGCCCCAGATTTTACTTGTAGAAAACTGGGCAGGGTGTGGGCTAATCCAATAATAGGCTACTAAGCCGGAGTAGCCACCCGATGATGTACGAAATATGGGTAGATAAGCGCGGGTCTGAAGCAGATTGGTTGGTTCGAGACAATCCCTCTGGACTAGACAATTTGATCCGAAATGGGAAATGGAGAATGGACGGATTTGATCCTTCGGGATTTGACTCGGCTGTTCGAGTGAGACTTCGGAGAAAGCTGACTCTTGAAGACTGCCTCTACTGATATGCCTACCGGCCACGAGAATTTAAATTCTTTTCTGTGGTCTTCTGAAGCCACTCTTTCCCCAAATACGCTCAGACTGGGTGATACCTGTCGTTTGGTTCATAAAGTGAGCTCCCTGGATGTTTCACCTCCGAGTCTGACAGACATTTTCTTCAACATCAAAAGTCCTCTTTTTGCAAAACCACCACTCTTGTGATTTTCACATTCCCGCATTCTCTTCCCTGACCTTTGGACTTGTCAGAGTGACCATGTCCTTCAGTCCATCCGAGACAGGGTCGTCGAGCCCACCCCAACTGGCAAAGAACTTCTCTCGAATGTGAGTGACCTCCTATTCCCCGGAAAGCTTTCGCTGGAGCGTATACTAACGCATCTTTTGCTCTGATAGGTCCCTCCTTGGCTTGGCATTCATTACCTTGAACGTGAGTCAGTAGGCAATGGAATGGTTTCCTCGAGGCGATTAGTAGTTGCTGATCAACGCCCATTCAAATGCCAGTCATGGACCGCTTTTGCTTCGGCTTTGCCTTTGAGCCTCACATCTGGAGGTCCCACAAGTATCATCTGGGGTACGAAGCCTCCTAATCCTGGTTACAAGGATCTACTAATGCTGACTGAATCTGCGAACTAGGTCTCTTGACGTCGGGTTTCTGTACACTTTGTATCGCGGCCTCCCTAGCAGAATTTGTATCCGCATATCCTACGTGTGTCTCTCCACGTCCCATTTCTTATTTCGTCAACAATCCACTCCATGGTAGTAGAAAAAGAATTAGGGAAGCTATTTGGGCGATGCTGATATTCAGAATTGAACAGTGCCGCGGGACAATATCGTTGGGTAGCTGGTAAGATTTCCTTGCAGGTGATCTACAATTAAATGGATTGGGAATGTACTGACAGATTTTCCGTGTCACTCTTATACAGCCGGTACGTGATACTAGTGATCTCTGCTCGATGAATGTCTTGCTGACCGAAGCGCCAGTTTCCTGGGATGACTATAAGCGGGTGCTCTCATGGTTTACAGCATGGGCGAATATCGCCGCGTGGGTATGTAGGATCCCTAGCATACCACGGTGCCACGCCTGTACTACCAAGACTAATCAGGAATCTACAGATCTGTTTATGCGCGACGGCGTCACTTTTTGGGAGCCAACTGGTCTTTGGCACTGTAGTCCTAGGTCATCCGGTAATACACCCTCCAGCATTCCCTTTTCTTCCGTCCCCAAACCTTTACCATCTCCACTTGATATGGGTTCAGATCTATCCCTAATCTTACTTACTAGGACTTTAACTTGCAAAGATGGCATGTGTTTCTGATCTATGTAGGCTTTAACATGATAGCATTTTTGGTCAACGCATGCTGGAACAGCATTTTATCCGCGCTGAACAGAGCAGCCTGTAAGGTCTTTCCGTCCAGGCGACAATCGGGCTTCTACACGCATGACTAAAACGATGAACATCTAGTGATCTGGTCCCTCTGTGGCTTCTCCGTCATTTTCATTACTGTCTTGACATGCGCGTCACCAAATTACAAACCTGCGAGGTACGTCGCTCCTACTACAAGTCTTGTGTCTCTTGGTTATACTATTTCCATATCGCGAGTCAGTCTGACGGATCCTTCAGCTTTGTGTTTACTAATTTCATCAATGAGACTGGATGTAAGCCCTCTCTGCTTCTGTTCGATCGTCACCTTCCCTCTCGTTTCAGTATAGTAATTATTGGCAAACAGGGCCCGATGGCTTGGCTTGGCTTTTGGGCGTAAGTCCAGCATCCTTCCCCTATAATTGAACTTGGAGACTGATCCACAGCCCTCAGCTGCTCCAAGGTGGACTGTGCCTTGTAGGAGTTGTGAGTATCCGCGCCCATCAATATTTGATATTCCCCACTAAATAGTTGGGACCAGGATGCCGTTGCACACATGATCGAGGGTAAAGACCCTTCCGCATTCCATGCTACGGCCTTCCTTACCTAACATCGTTCATTCTTTGACTAGAAATCCCCAAGCCGACCGTGGATGGACCGTTAATCATGGTCGCGTGTGTAGCAATTGGGCTCGCCACCAGCCTAATATTAATTATCGCTCTTCTATTTGTTTCTCGTGATATTGACACTATTATCACCTCTAGTGCAGGGCCTCTACTACAGATCTTTTTTGATGCAACCAACAGTAAAGTGGGGTCCATTTGCTTGCTACTGTGTGTATTCCTCCCGCGATATCACGTCACTATGTCTGACGGCTACTGGAATCCTCCAGATTCCCTATTGGGTGCCTTTTGCTAGGTGTGGTAGCCATAACAACAACGTCTAGTCGGATGATCTACGCTCTCGCTAGGTACGGACAAATCTCCAGACAAATCATTGGAAAATTAAACCTACCATATTCTTGCGAAATATACTGGTACTAATGGAGCATGCAGAGACTCTGGGCTACCATTCTCCCCCATTTGGACTACTGTTCATGCCAGGCTCAAAACGCCTGTGCATGCCCTGGCTCTCCATACAGCTGCAGTAATCTGCTGCGGGTGTATCTTCCTCGGCTCTTCAAGGTACAGTCTACTACTTGAGCCATTATCTAAGAACACCATATTGATTTTGTCCAACGGCTAACCCATCAAATCACCAATCTAGCGCATTCAATGCACTGAGCTCTGCGACGGTCATATGCTTTGACATATCCTATTGCCTTCCGATTTTGATCCATTGTATACGGGGCCGCAAATTGCTTCCTGCGCGCCCATGGAGCCTTTACCCTTCCATTGGATGGATTGTGAACCTTGTATATCCTACCTTTCTATTCATCTCTCCCTCTGGCCCCTTACCCATGACTAATCCTGAGATAGGTGGCAATAGCGTATATTTCATTTACCACCGTGCTGTTCATGTTCCCACCTACCCATTCTGTAACGGGTTCGACAATGAGTAAGAATTTCCATTTCCGAGGGAATCTCAAAAACTTGACTGACGGATGGTTCTCTTATCTGGTAGACTACGCCATTGCGACTACCGGCGCATTCGCGTTGTTATCTGCAATCTACTGGTTCGTCAGGGGCCAGAAGCGCTTTATGCAGGTCGTGGTGAATGCGGAAATTGAATTCCCCGAAGCTAGGACGTCGATTGATCCGATCAAGTCGGACGTATAATTTGTGGTTTCGGGCTGGTTGATTGAGGCAAACGTCTTCTAAGCCTGTTGCTTGGTTTCAAATTAGCACTAATTAGCACTTGTTTTGCTCGATGTACGATACCATCAATCGCCTGTTCCGCCTTGGGGCCTGTCTACTACGTTGGGCAAGTTACCTGGCGGGTGGGTGGGAGCAGAGTATTGAAAAAGATTGAATCGAATGTATTGATCTCTCCATTTGAAAATCCTACAAAGCACGTAGTTGGTCTCGGCAGTTGGACCAAATTAATCCCGACACCTCCGGCTGTAAATCCAAACTTATGGGCCTCGATAATCCCAATGCTCGTTTTCCATTTCTTATATGATATTAAAGATATTTGTATAAGCTTCCGGATCCGGTGAGGCGCGAGTGACGTCATATGTCTTGGCGGGTTTACTTACCCAAAGAGGAAATAAACTGTTAGGGCAAGATCCCACCGGAACGAACGATCCATCGCGTTATCGACTTCGTTTCTCTGGTTTGTCATCATTAGGGAAAGCAGGTGAACACATCTTTGACAGGTTTAAAAAGACCTTGGAAGAAGCTTGTTAATTCTATTTTTCTTTCACTGCATTCGTTCTCGGTTCTTGCTAAACCCAAGCATCGCAGCATTTATCCCCAAGATGTCGCCCTCCACCTTCAAGAGTTCTTTCAGTGTCACGCACATTGGTACTGCTACTGCTATCTTCGAAATCGATGGCATCAATTTCCTGACCGATCCCTTCTTCTCCCCTGCTGGAACAACATGGGACATGGGCGGCGGGAACATGCTCAAGAACACTGAGACACCTGCTCTTGCCCTTGAAAACTTACCCGCAATCGATGCCATCCTCCTCAGCCACGAAGATCATCCAGATAATCTGGATGAGCTGGGCCGCCGTCTCTTGGACGGTCGACATGTATTCACCACCATGGACGGTGCAAACAATCTTGCCCCCCCGCCCTGCCGTTCGTGGCATGGAGCCCTGGCAAACCGTCCCCGTTGCACTTGGTGGCAAGCAATTCGAAATCACTGCAACTCCATGCCAACATCTGCCCGGTGGCGAGTGCACCGGCTTCATCATCACTTCCGAGGAGTTTGGTGTTGCAGCGGATGGCAAGCCCAATGCTATATACTTCACCGGTGACACGGTTTACATTGATGAGCTTGCCAAAATCCCTGAGAAATTCCACGTTGTTTGTGCCGTGATGAACCTTGGCTCCGCGTTCGCTGGTCTTCCTGATGGTCCATTGCAGATCACTATGGATGGCAAGCAAGCTGCTCATCTCTTCCGCACTATCAAGGCTGACTACCTTGTGCCAATGCACTACGAGTCCTGGGGGCACTTCACTCAATTTGGGGAGGATTTGATCAAGGTCTTTGAAGAGGAGTCCATTATGGACAAAGTTCGTTGGCTTAGCCCAGGAAAGTCTGTCAAGGTACTGTAGATAGTTATTATACAATCGTGGGAGAGTATAAAAGCGAAGAGTGGGGATTTGAAATGTAACTATAGTGCTTTCAGGCGTACTTCCAAGCCAGAACAATGTCCCATACTTATGTACAGAAATTTTGTTCCATTATCTCAACAATTTGTATTACGACGTCACCGGTAAACGGTACAGTATAATTCTGATGACCGAAAAGCACCATACTTTGAACCATCCAGTTGAGATGGATCAAAAGGGTTATTATACTTCAAAATGTACTTCCAGGATCCAAGTTGTTACCTTGATTAAATTTGAAACACTAGGGTTTTGTTGAATATAAAACAGCGGTAGGCTGATTCCTTTAAAGACCACCAGGTCAGTAATACATACTTTTCCCAAGTGCAAAACAACACCCGATCACGCCAATCCCAGATTCTGATGCATCATGGCTCCAGCAGTGAGCCAAGGTGCAACCCACAGGCAACCAAGTCCAGCATAAGACCGGACCCTGAAGTATCTCCAGCCGGTCAAAGTACCCGCCAACACGGTGGTCCAGATGATGGCTTTCTCTTCCAAAGTTCGAACTCCGACGCGCGACCATTGAATGTTGAGCAGTGCTGATACAATCTTAGCGGAAATTCGTCTTCGTTCGGGGAGCAAGATGAGGCTTACCTGAAGCGGCCAGCAGAGCATTCACCATGTCCCAAGCGGTGGTTGCTGTCGCTTTTCCAAGGACATGCTCCTCATTATCGGGGATGGAAGCAACAGCAGGGTCGACCTCCTTGATCCCAAAGAGTATATGACCTGGGATCGAAACCGCATTAATAGCTGCTGAGGCGTAGTACAGTGTCGTAGGGATGAATGACATGTCGGCGAATATAGGCGAAATGGCTATCAAGACCAATGGTAGGAAATGTATAGTGTGGTGGTTACTTGGGTCTCGGCTTCCCTATAAAGATTTCCGACGGATCTCATTAGGTGGTCAAATGCTGGCCGTCTTTTGTCGGATGTTGTTGCAGTGTTGTAGGGTAGTGCCGCAGTTAATTCTATGGGCTCCTAGCATTCATCAGTATCACTAGTAGACTTGGCGATGTATGTTACCCTCCATGGACTAGCCTGTCATGTTCAGGTGGATACTTATGCCCCACAGGCACTTGTTAGGTACCTAAGTGGTCCTAACTCAAAGTAGTAGCTTATGCCGCCAAGAGCCAAAGTTGTGGTTCCGTGTAGGGTTCCTTGTTGCCGTCAACCCGTCTTGGCCTGTCTCCAACATACTCGAGGCTGCCTCGCAATATAATTGCTCCCAACCTCCGAAGGTTATGTACTACCCTACATGCAGCTAAGCACCCTAAAACTACTTGATCTTGTAAAAAGAATTTATTTGCTGACGCCCGCTGCTCAATGACCACATTTCCCTGAGACAAGGAACGGAGTGGAATGGTTTACAACGCGTGATTCTTCACGACGCTGACTTTGAAGGCCGCCTTAAACGCTAGTTAATACAGCCTTTTGCTAATATCTCCTAGTGGTCACATATCTGTACACATAGTACCAGAACCTAACAGTCTACGTTTTTCTTCCTTCATAGTTGCGCGGTTCTAGAAGATCGTCATATGGTAATTTTCATTCCTCGTGATCTAATTTAAGACGGTGTAGATATAGACACTGTTGAAAAGCGTTTTTCTATTTCCGAGCCATGTATAACCGCATCGTTTGGCGTGGAAGGCGCTAATAAGAGGAATTCTATGTCCTTGGTGAGCGGTCATACAGTAATAAGCCTTCGAGGTAAATATATTCCAGCAGTCGTTACGGTTTCAGATTGCATCAGCTCCCTATACAGTAAAACCCCGTTATGACGATACTTTTTCCGGGTCTAAATTGATCTGCCATACAAAAATCGTTAAAACCTCTTTGCTATGAACTTCGCTAACTAATTCATAATTTGTCCTATACAAATACCGTTATATCCAGGGCTTAATCAGCTATTTTAGCCCGATTTCAACCAATAAAAATGCCTTGCCAATCCATTCTAACCTTTCAAAAGGTCGCCCTACGAGAGTACCGTCAAAAAAACAACTTCCCTTCGTATAAGTAGCTCGCTGGTTAATTGGTTCTACGAAATATGTAATCATCGTACCTCTCAATCTACAATTTCGGAGATACTTTCTACCGATATCTTCACCTTGACACCGACCTCTCAAAACACTAGTCCTAGGAAGTTAATTACTGCTCTACATAGACATGAGAGGTTGAATGAAGCAAGGAAAATAGGAGGGCAGAAGCAGCAATAATAAGAGCTTTTTTAGGGCCTACATTTTTATGTAAACCAGAAATATATATTTAATATACAGCACCTCGATTTAACGAATACCTGATATTTCTATCGTGTCTACGGAGTAGAATATATCGTTATAAATAGTTTTACTGTACATAGTTAACTAGGTAGTTTTCATTGATCAACCCAGGTCGGCATCCGTGCTTTCCCGGAGTTACCCCGGTCTCGGCGGACATCCACCGACCCCGCGTTGCAACTCCTCTCCTCTCGCATAAGAACCTTGGCCGTCCCCCCTTAATGTCACCCAGCCAACGCCTCAAGACTCTATCAAATCACCTCCAACGGGCCCTCACAATGAAACTCCTCTACCCAACCTCCCTCCACATCGACACCAAGTCCCTGGAAGGCTTCTCCGTCGAATTACACCCCTACGATGTCACACTCCCAATTCCCGAACCCCTAATCGACGCCGAGTTCCTCGTAACATGGAGCAACAAAGCCACAAACCTCCGCGACGCAGCGTCCCGCATGAAGAACCTTCGCTGGATCCAGTCGCTAGCAGCCGGTCCAAATGACGTCCTCGGCGCGGGCTTCGATGCCTCCCGCATCGCCATCACAACCGGCTCTGGCCTACACGACGAAACAGTCGCTGAACACACCCTTGGCCTGCTACTCAATGCCGCCCGTCGCTTCTATGAGATGCGCGATTACCAGTCCCGCGGCGAGTGGCCCGGCCATCTGGGCGGCCCCCAGCCCGACCGCGCCCCTGGCACTTTCCGTACCCTCAATGGTGCCAATATTACCATCTGGGGATTCGGAAATATTGCCAAGAACCTTGCCCCCGTGCTGACCGCACTCGGCGCTAATGTTACTGGTGTTGCGCGAAGTACGGGTGTGCGTAATGGGTTTGAGGTTGTTGCAGAGGATCGCTTGCAAGAGATTCTGCCTAAGACCGATGCCCTTGTTATGATTCTGCCGGGTTCGGCGAGTACTAACGGCGCGCTTAGTGCTGAGCGCTTGGCGTTGCTGCCGAATCACGCTTGGGTTGTGAATGTTGGCCGGGGCACTTCTGTTGATGAGGATGCGCTGCTTGACGCGCTTGAGAAGGGTAGCATTGGTGGTGCGGCGTTGGATGTTTTCTCCGCTGAGCCCCTGCCCAAGGAGTCAAAGTTTTATGCCGCGCCTAACCTTATTCTCTCGCCTCATGCTGCTGGTGGACGTCCCCGTGGGGCTGAGGCGCTCATTGCGTATAACCTCAGACGGCTTCTTGCCGGACAGGAACTGAAGAATATTATTTGAGCTTGGGATGAAGTGACTGTGGACATTTCTTGTTTGATAGAGTTTATGAGCACATATATATATGCATAGATGAAATGAAGGTTAGATGCCATGTTTTCGCCATATAGGTCTTACATGGATGAGTCTAAGAGTATGTCTACAGTCTATTGAATTGAATTGAATTGAACTGGCCCCTGGGCGATTATCGGCGAGGTTTTAACCACAAGCAATGGTATGGTGCCCGTCAGTGTATTATGTTGTACTAAGCTGAGTTCTTCACACTTGGACTGATCCAGAATTGCTGAGTGTTAAAAACAGTACCTGATACCTGGATGCAGATACCGCCCAGGGCCCAGTCTATATCCAAGACATACCGAGTACTGAACTGAAACCAACCTCGCTGATCTGGAGGTCAAGTGCGGTGATAGGTTTGTGCCAGCATCAAGAACATATGTATGGACTATGTGTGGACAACTAACTAATGGCGGCCTTAGGTCGTGAACGGGTTCTTGCATCAATGAAAGATCCCATGAATAATACGGTGAGAACAGTATGTAGCAGATCAGAATAAGATTAATTATGAATTGATTCAATAAATGCTAGATTCCATCAGATTCCATTGACTGAAAGCCGCCGGAATTGAAATGTTTTCTTGCGATATGACATGATGCAGCTGTCAAACTGGATCAATGGCACTAACTACCATTCCGTGGAAGTTCAAGATTCTTGGCATATAAGAATCGCATAGTTAGTGGGTTATCATACATGATGCCGAGTGATATTTTACGCTGAACCCGTAATTTTATGTTAAATAATTAAAAGTCGTGTGAGGCTTTCAAAAGAATACATTACACTAGGACTCCAGAGTCAAAGGAGAAGTTGATCAAAATCAATCTGATATAAACAAAGATGGTGAGACTATATACTGGTTATTTAGTATGTTCATGTGCACAATAAAGTCAAGAGAATCCCCCCATTTCAAACGCCATGCCATAAATCAATGCCGTCGTTTCCTCACCACTCACATGCGCGATTTACTCGGGGCGCAGCAGGAAGAAGGGAACGCGTTCTTCGACTGGCTATCAACACAAATAGCCGAAGGAGGCACCCAGAGACCAGGGTTCTTCTCAAAGAAATTTGAGGCACGCAGCATAATGCTAACTGGCTCAGCAGGCATGATGGGGAAATCCTCGGTACGCGGGAAATGTGTCAGACCGAACTGCAAGTAGCAGACGATATCGGTGTTCTCGATACTCTCATCGCGCTGCGCCCAGTCGGCAATGGTTGGGTTATAAGGGTGTCCCTCCGAGCCATCAGATTGGCAGACGAAGTCACCAGCCGGGAAGAGCTCGTAGTCCTTGTACGGAGTAACCCAGAGGGGCTTGCGGGCAAAAGCGGCACGCTTCCAGACGGTGCTGCCGGGCTTGGCGAGCATTGGGGGGCAGTTGTTGTTGAGGATCTTGTAGGC